TTGAAGCCCGCATAAATAGGCCTATGCGGCGAAATTTAGGAATTTATGTTCCAGATGCCAGCATCTTTAAAAATTTTTGTATTCTTTGAATGTTTTTGTTTTATATTTTTTCAAAATTTTCAAAAGAGGGTCAGCACTTTATTTCTCAAGTTTTCTTAATGATTTGACAATTTATATGCTATTTTGATGTGGCTATTCTAACTTTATCTTATTTGTGGGCGTTTCTTAAGTTTTATTTTGTGTATTTATAAGTCATTATTAAGACTTACTTTGTGATTGTTTGAACTTCATCTTTGCATTTCAATTTCTAATTGCTTTTTCTTATTTCACTTTTCATTATGGGGGCACTATCAGTTTTTGGTTTCAGCACTGACAACAGAAAGGTTTTCTGCAGGAGTTGTTTCTGATTTTTAAATTAAAACAAAACTATTTGGATTTAGCTGATATAAGCGCTTTTCTATTTTGATTTAAATGTTACTTTTGTTTTTTTTCTTTCTGAATTTGCAAATTAGTTTCATACTTTGATTAAATATTGATAAGTTTATAATTGCGATAATGCAACTGAATTTATTGGAATTTAAATTCATAAATGTTAATAGGCTAGGTAAAGAGAATTTTGAAAATTACAATTGTACACAGGTATTCCCTAAAATAAATTAAATTTATTACGAGTAAAAAGCCAGATTACATCATAATTTAAATAAAGGCGAAACTTGATAAATCGATAAATTTTAGAGTTTTTTCCAGATATTTTAACATTTCGAGCATTAGGAACTACAATATAAACTACCTTTAAAATTTAATTTTGTAAAATAAAAATTTTAATAACCGTTTTTCAAGCAAACTAAATGAAAAATGTTAAGTCAGATCTAACACTAAAAACTTGGTATTAGAGGTCTAATAAGTCTTAAATTGACGGAATCTTTGGAAATCTAATGTTTGAGCAGAATAGTTTGTCGAAAAGATGGCAAATTTAGATTGACTAAGTTCCCTTTTGATTTCTATTTGACGGTCAGAAAAATGTTCACTTTGCTTCGCTATAAAGAGTAAAAAATCTAATTAGAAAGCTTATGGCTATAAAAGTTGGACGTAAATTTTTGTTCAGTAGTCAGAAAATTTTAAACTTTAATTACTGTGCACGGAGTTTCATAAGAGATTTGATAGTTCTAGCTAGTCTGAAAGTGATTAAGATTCAATCCTCACTTACAATAAAAAACCTAAATTATTTAAAACTGAGTATTAAGATATTAAGTTTTACAAGACCTGGTCTTAAAGTCATAGCTCGATAATTTAGAATTTTTCTATAAAAGTATTTTTAGAGAATAGACAAGCGCTTAGCTCTAAAACGTCAAATAACTTTTAGAAAATTTTTCAGTTTGATAATTTATTTCTACATTGAACTTAAGATTTAAATGCATAATTTCTTTAACCTTTTGAATTGGAAAAAAAAACTGTAAATTTATCTGGTTACTTTAAAATATGATTCCAGGAATAATCAATTTTGTTAAATCTTAGGTTTTTAACAATAACTTAGGAAATTTTGGAAATTCTGTACGAAAAGTAAAAACTTCAAAAAATGTGTGCCTAAATTTTTTAAATAATTTATAATTTACAAGTTTACTATTTCAGATGAGAGAATTTTTAATTTCAATTTTTGCAATTCAATCAAATTTAATTATATTACTTTCCCAAAACTAAGGAGACTATCTTAAAACTTACGATAGAATTCAGTGGCATCATTTTGAGTATCAGAAGAAAATTTTACTAGAGATTAAGGTTAAAAAAAGTTCCAATTAGGCCTTAAATAATCGTTACACAGTGTGATATGTCTAAAGGCGTTAAAGATAAACTAAATCCTCTAAGAAGATTTCAAACAAATAAGGAAATCAAACTAACAAAAAAAATCAATCATTTTTACTCTAATAATTGACTTTCTTGTTTCGATATTTCGTTTACGTCCAACAATTTAGCGTAGATTAAAACACTATTTCATTCATTTTTCTTTACATTTCGACACATTATAGAACTAAGCATTTGAAATCTCAAGATATTAGATTAACAAATCTAATTTTACAAACTAGCAAAAATAGCTTTAGAATATTACACTGGTAAGGGTTAAAACAATGCAAGTTAAGGANCACGTTAATTGAGAATTTTTCAAAAAGTATTTTCAGAGAATAGACTAGCTCTGAAACGTCAAATAACTTTTAGAAAACTTCTTTCAGTTTAATAATTCATTTTTACATTTAACTTGAGATTTAAAAGCATAATTTTTTTAACCTTTTGAATTGGAAGCGAAAACTAAATTTATCAGTTTACCTTAAAATAGGATTGTAGGATTAATCATTTGTTAAATTTTAGATTTTTAGCAATAACTTCGGAAATTCTGTACGAAAAGAAAAAACTTTAAATTTAGGCACATATTTTTTGAATAACTTATAATTTTCAAGTTTACTATTTCTGATAAGTGAATTTTGAATTTCAATTTATGCAATTCTATCAAATTTAATTATATTACTTTCCTAAAACTAAGGAGACTATCTTAGAATTTGCGATATAATTCAGTGGCTTCGTATTTTGAGTATCAGGGAAAAAAATTATTTTACCAGAGATTGTGAGCTTAAGAAATAGCAATTATGCTTTAAATATTCAGTACGCTGTGTGTTAGATCTAAAGAAGTTAAAAAAACTCCCCCCCCCCCCAAGATGATTTCGAAACAAATAAAGAAATCAAACTAACATAGTTTTTACTCTAATCATTGACTCACTATCTTTTTTTTTACGTCCAACAATTTAGCATGGAATAAAACATTTCAACATTTTCTTAAATTAAACATTTGAATTAACATTTAGAATTAAACATTTTATATCTGAAGATTTTCAAGTATTACATTAACAAATTAATTTTACAAACTGGCAAAAATAACTTAAGAATATTACACTGGTAAGGGTTAAAACAATGACGAAAAATGCCTACCTTTGTTTTCTTCATGTTTTTTTTTCAGATCCAGCAAACGTTCCTTGTAGTCTCCTTACAAACAACCTGTTTTCACAATCCTTATTGCAGTCTCATCTCTAGTTAAAATTTCTCCTAGCAAACACGCTTTTCACCATCTTCATTTCCATATAAATTATAATTTCCACAGAAATCATTTCCATGTAAACTGAAAGAAATAATATCATTAAGAGTCTTTACTTTTAAAAAACTAAAATTACAGATATTTAAATCATAAAATAGTATTTTGAACTGTCGAAAAGGGAACTATGAATTTTCTAAAACTACGTAAATCTGTATGAAATCAGAATGTTTGGTAGAGTATGAGAAAAATACAAATTTGTGCAGATAATCTTCAATATTTTTTTTTAACAGAATTACTTGTTGACCTACTTCTAAAGCTTCCACCAGATATATTGCTAAAAAAACAGAATTTTAAATTGTTTCTTCTAGATAGTTTGAGCAATAAGTAAATACATTGATGTGAAATGTTCCCATAACGTTATTCATTTTTTAGAAAGACCAATTACCTGAACTTAATTAACATATTGTGTAAAATAAACAAATAACTTGAGACCGGATCGTATTTTCTAAAATGGTTTTAAATTATGCATCCCAAATTTTGCATTAATCTAAAAGTAATATTTGTATTCAAATTTTATTTTTGACATAAACTTTACCAAGTCTATATTCATTAATTTTAATATTGATATTTTAATTGCCAGTTTCAGTATGTAGAACAGAAAACATGTTTATTTATTCAACTCCCTCTGTTTCCTGAGTATGTTTAATATTTTGCTTTAAATCTTGTTTTGTAAACTAGACTTTTTAAATCCAATATTAAACGCATAAGTATACTAATTCTGTTTTATGATTTGAAAATTTTTAATTTAAATCCATTATATCACTAAAACTTATTTATATTAAGTAAACTATAATGTGTATGTATCCTAGTCCAGTCTAAGTTTTTAATTTCAATCTGTAAATAATTCTGAGCTATAAATTAGTGAAACATGTAAATATAGTATTTTTAAATGATTTTATTCAGAACGATTTCAGTGTATTAAGTCTTAGTGTGGAATTATTTGTGTGGCAGAACTAGCATCCGTTTGGTATGACGGTTCGTTTGGCTCCGTATGATTTATTACGTTTAACAATCTACAGCAAAGCAGTACTCAACAAACTGAAGACAAAACCAAGTAAATGTGGAAATTTTTGCACGTGGATTTTTTAACTTTTATCTTGAAAGCCAAAAGTGTTGCAGATCCGATTGAACTAGCTCAAAAAACACATTAATAAAATATGTAATTAGAGTTTTCGCGATTACGATGTTTAATTTGAAATTTGTATTTAATTCCGTTTTATACGAAATAAAAACAAGTCCAAGTTATTGTACTAAATTACAATTGCTCTACTTTATTTTAATGTTTTCTGTAATTAAAGTATTAGACACAAAAATATACTACACAGCTAGGCAGTTATCGAAACTGCTAACGTTGTCTTTGATAATTTCTCACTTGTTTATTTTTAAATATCTAATCTTTTAGTTTCATTTCATATACTTTAAAATAAGGACAGCTTAAAAATAAAAGACACAAAACTAAATAGAAATTTTGTCGTTATTAAACTTCAGAAAAAGTCGTTATTAAACTTCAGAAAAACGAGATCACTAAGGGAAAAAAAACTTCAATTTTCGCTACTATGGGACAAAATTATACGTCGCAAACGAAAACAAAAGCTTAAATTAACAAGTCATGTTAGAATCTAAACACTTTTACATCAGAATGCACGTTAAACATTCTAAAAAATTCGGTGCATAAGTTTTCTAACCAATAATTTTTTTAATAAGGGAATGAGACCCGGGTAAAATTATTTTTTAAAATCGGGGCGGTATTTGTTTATAAATATAGTGATACAATTAAGTAAAACAGCGTGAATATTCTACTGTTGAGGATACTGTGTGCCTGAAGATGAAATAGATAACTGCTTTTTTAAAACTCATTTAACAGAAACGTCCAAAAAATCATATTAATTTGTTCGCAATTGTGATAAATTTGAAAAGTATTTATAAAAAAAATATTTATCGAGATAACTTTTCTGAAAGTTATCTTAAGGCAAAAGCTGCTAAAATATTAAAGCCAAAATTAAACTTATATTAACTGAATATGTTACTTAGTTTAAATTTTTAAAAGTTAATTTATATTTTCAAAAACAATAGAAATTAATATCTAAAATATCGTATTAAAAATTAACATCTTACAACAATAAATTTGTGAGAAGCATGGAAAATACAGGAAAACTAGTCCATAAAGATAACAAAAAGACCTGGATGGAACAGTTTCAATTGAGACAATAGATCTAGCAGATAACTGTAGTTGGTCATAAAGTCTTGGAAAGAACATCAAACAATCAGTGGTGGCAAACAATCAGAAGGAGCAATCAGTGGTGGTGGCAATTTTTAGCAACAATTCTGAAAACAAAAATATTCGTCACTTTCTAATGTATCTAAGAGAAAAATGGCTAATTTAAGTGTTCAATACACCAAAAATTTTGATGTATTGCAACACCAACAATGATGGCAACTATCTCACAGATAAGTGGTGCAGTGAAACACCATACGGATGTTGGTGTTGCATTACACCAAAAATGTTCTCATACACTACTTTACGCAAAGTATTCTTCAGTATCAAAATTTATAAAGTAAAACCCCCAGAAAAGACCACCTATATGTAGCTACCTCCGTTAACGAACACTTTTGGGAGCCATTTGTTTAAAATAGTTCTATCCTTTATAACTTTATTTTTTATCTGTCTTTGAACAGCCGACCCAATTTTGGGCTTACGACTACTAATGCTCAACCCCCTAGACTTTTAATTTTGAACCCAATCCAGAAGACAAGGAAACTCCTGGATCAGTATCCCAGAGGTATTGATTTGTTATGGGAACATTGAAGACTTTGAGACTCTACAGATTTAACGTGCATCAGTCACCATTTACTACACGAGGAATCTTCGGCTGGCTGGGATCGAACCCACGAACTCTTGGATTAGGGCTTAGTGCCCTACCAACCAGACTGTCCCGGCTTCATCCTTCATAATGGTAAATTTGTTTCAACACATAATGGTATCAATATGGACCATTTTTATTGATTCTAAATTTCTTCATCGATCCTGTGTTTCTGAGGCCAACACAAGTGACCTTTCCTCATCATCCCTAGCAGCAAAATGACTCTTTTGGACCAATATTCACGAATATTTGCTCAATACGGGTTCAGAGGGCAGTTATTTTTCTGATATTGGCCCGATACAGAATTGTCCGATTCAAACGATATTTTACAGCCCATATCGGCCCTATATAGAGTTCAGATTCACCCGATATTTTACAGTCATTATATAGTGTTAAATCTAGACATTCTAATGTTGGTCCCTCAGTGCATGTTCTTATATGACTCATATTGAGACAATTTTGAGCCCAGCTGGGGCCAAGATAAAATTGTTGCTAGATGTAATTGTTTTTAGAGATGACACTGACTAAAATTAAAATAGTTTTAGAAACATCATGTACTTTCAGCATTTTGAAGTCAATGGAGGTAACCCCTAAGAACGCGCAGCACTGTGGTCGGTGCTAGCTGGGTGCGGAATTCGTATCGACCAGCTATCGCTGGAATTCGAATACAGTGCACCTCATTCGAAGGCAAACGTTCTATCCTCTGAGCCATCATGACTCAAGTTTAAAATATTTTTATCCCATTGTTTAGATTTTATACGAGCGTTGTAAAACATGATGAAAGTACTGGTATTTATCGTACAAAACTCTTCTCAAAAACTAAATTGTTTAAGTAATACGAAGAGATTTTTGCTAACAATCTTATTAAATTTTATAAAACTTAAATTCGAGTGTTTTGAAAGCACTATTACAAGAATCAATCTGTACATTAGCATAAAGTTTTATAGTTCTAATTGGAAAAAAAAATGAACTCATTTCACTAAGTTTAAAAATAGTGTTTAAAAAGTTTGAAAAACTTCTGCAGAACACAAACACCATAAATTTTTTTAACACATGTGTATTAGCAGGACAGTACTGCATCAGTGGAAACACTACCTGCTAACATACAAGAGCCTTTTAGTGGTGAAACCAAGTACTGAGAGTGCCTCGAGGCCCCATAATGGAAAGTCAAACAATAAAAAGCAAACTCGTATAGAATGCTTATAGAATAGCTTACAGAATATAAAACGTGCTCATTTAAATATATTGGGCAAATAGGTACTGAGTTTAAATAGTCGTATTAACAGTCATAGATAAGTCAAAAAACTTTCATAAACACAATAACTCTGATATTGAAATTGTTTCTTTTCAAAAGCATTCTTTTAAAGAATATTAATATTGTTAAAAATAGTGATGACTTAAATTTAAAATTAGATTATATGAAAACATTTTTATTTGTAAATTAAAACTTTAAACCCCCTATGCGCATAAGTAAATTAAATGAAGGTAACCTAGATTCAAATAATGTGTGCATTTATAATAAATTGAACACTTTTGATAATCATTTTTCAATTAAATTGAGAGGATGCAGGGGTAAAACAAAAAGTAAACATAAAACTACATTTAATTTGGTATTTTAAAACTGTTTATTAGATGTCAATGAATTTAACATTGAAAAGATTAGGAGCTTCATTTTTAGTTACAAAATTTAGTGTTGAAATAGATAAGAAAATTTAAAAATTTTGAAAATTTTCTACCCCCGAGTTTAAATACATAGTATTAGATCTTATTAAATTTAAACTTGCAGTCCACAACTTTGATTTTTAAAAATTTAAAAATTAAAAATTAAAAAATAATTTAGTTATTAATTTATTTTCTTGATAAAGATTTTGAAGGATGTTTACTACCTGTGACTGTTGATAACCCTATTGTTTCCCAATTAAAGATAAAAGAGTTTGCTTAAGATATTGTAGGACTTTATAGAAGAGAATTTGTAGTTATTATTTCTATAGAAAAAATTTAAACGATTTAGAGGATATTTGTTTATGTGAGCTACAGCATTTTAAAGATTTTGTTAATAGCAATTTTAAGCACATTGTCACAGGTGACCTTAACCTAATCAGAAAATAAGATTTTAAATTTCTCATGGGACTTTGGACTAAGTTTAGACCAAGGACGAAATGTCACTTAAATTGTATTTTTGCTTCAATCAGTATGGATTTAGATTGTTTTATTGCAAAATGCTCAAGAATATTTAATTATAGCCTATAGAGGGAACTATATATAGCCAATATAAACTACCAGGATTTTTATTTTAATTCTGATATTATTAAATCTATTTAGGAATTAATATAATTTTAATATATGTGTTTTTGACAAAACTTCTAATAATTTTCGCTTTATTTGCAAAATTTTTTTAGACATTTAATGAGTAAAGAATATAATACTTTTGTCAAAATCAATCATTCTAAAAATGAATTCGATAATCGAATATTAGCCAATTCCAAGAAAATAGGTTTAAAGATAAATAGCATTAATTATCCTTATTTACTACAATTCAATTCCACAAAACACAGGTTAAATTTAGATTTGTAACTTGCAGTACTGGCTGTTCTGCTTATGGTCAAATTTTTTTAAATTATTTAAACATTATTTAAATACGATTATTTCAAGTGATAACCATTATTAATAAACACCGAGAAGTTATTAAATATTTGAAATATAATATTAATACTGTTCTTACATGTGATTTTATAAATCTTTTCACGAGTATACCACTCAATAATTTAAGGAATATTCGATAAATATTTGAATAATGAGGACACATTAATACGGATGACTGGATAAATTTATGTAATAAGCACTTTTGAAAATTATTTGTTTTTACAAAGTATTTCAATGGGTAATTGTTTTTCAAGTGCTTTTGCTAATATTTTCTTACATTTTTATGAACAAAAATATTTACAATAATTTATTAATTGGGTTAATATTTATTGCTGATTTAATTATTTTTTATTGTAATAATTGATTTAAAAGATATTTATCCTAAAGAACTAAATTTAATTGAGACTGATTCAAATGAAAGCTGCGCTTTTTTAGATCTTGATATCAAACTTCATCATCAGAAAAGTTTCATCTGATTCTACGATAAAAGATTTTAAGTTTAGTGTTATTAATTTAACAGATTCTAACCTTTACTTCAAGATTTAGGAATATTTTGCTTGGTCAAGTGATTAGATTAAAATTTATTTGTAATAAAAAAAGATTTTCTTTCAGCTATTGGGAATTTCAGGATTACAAAAGAGAATAATAATTTTCCTCTTAATTACTGTAATTATGGATGTTCTTATTCAAAATATTTTAAAAGACTTCCAAATAATTCGGCCGATATTTAAGCCCGCATAAATAGGCCNGGTATTCCCTAAAATAAATTAAATTTATTACGAGTAAAAAGCCAGATTACATCATAATTTAAATAAAGGCGAAACTTGATAAATCGATAAATTTTAGAGTTTTTTTCCAGATATTTCAACATTTCGAGCATTAGGAACTACAATATAAACTACCTTTAAAATTTAATTTTGTAAAATAAAAATTTTAATAACCGTTTTTCAAGCAAACTAAATGAAAAATGTTAAGTCAGATCTAACACTAAAAACTTGGTATTAGAGGTCTAATAAGTCTTAAATTGACGGAATCTTAGGAAATTCTCTAGCGCAAATCTAATGTTTGAGCAGAATAGTTTGTCGAAAAGATGGCAAATTTAGATTGACTAAGTTCCCTTTTGATTTCTATTTGACGGTCAGAAAAATGTTCACTTTGCTTCGCTATAAAGAGTAAAAAATCTAATTAGAAAGCTTATGGCTATAAAAGTTGGACGTAAATTTTTGTTCAGTAGTCAGAAAATTTTAAACTTTAATTACTGTGCACGGAGTTTCATAAAAGATTTGATAGTTCTAGCTAGTCAGAAAGTGATTAAGATTCAATCCTCAAATACAATAAAAAAGCTAAATTATTTAAAACTAAGTATTAAGATATTAAGTTTTACAAGACCTGGTCTTAAAGTCATAGCACGTTAATAGAGAATTTTTCAAAAAGTATTTTCAGAGAATAGACTAGCTCTAAAACGTCAAATAACTTTTTGAAAACTTCTTTCGGTTTAATAATTTATTTTTACATTTAACTTGAGATTTAAATGCATAATTTTTTTAACCTTTTGAATTGGAAACGAAAACTAAATTTATCAGTTTACTTTAAAATATGATTGTTGGATTAATCATTTTTGTTAAATTTTAGATTTTTAGATTTTAGCAACTCTGTACGAAAAGAAAAAAATTTTAAATTTAGGCTCATATTTTTTGAATAACTTATAATTTACAAGTTTACTATTTTAGATTAGTGAATTTTGAAGTTCAGTTTATGCAATTCTATCAAATTTAATTATATTACTTTCCTAAAACTAAGGAGACTATCTTAAAACTTGCGATATAATTCAGTGGATTCGTATTTTGAGTATCAGGGAAAAAATTTTTACCGGAGATTAAGAGTTTAAGAAATAGCAATTATGCTTTAAATATTCGGTACGCTGTGTGTTAGGTCTTAAGAAGCTAAAATCCCAAGATGACTTCAAACAAGTAAAGCAATCAAACTAACATAGTTTTTACTCTAATCATTGACTTACTACTATCTTTTTTTTTTACGTTCAACAATTTAGCGTGGAATAAAACATTTCAACATTTTCTTATATTAAACATTTGAATTAACATTTAGAATTAAACATTTGTATTACATTAACATATCTAATTTTACAAACTGGCAAAAATAACTTAATATTACACTGGTAAGGGTTAAAGCAGTAAGAAAAAATGCCTACCTTTGTTTTCTTCATGTTTTTTTCTTCAGATCCATCAAACGTTCCTTGTAGTCTCCTTACAAACATTCTGTTTTCACAATCCGTATTGTAGTCTCATCTCTAGTTAAATTTCTCCCCACAAACACGCTTTTCACCATCTTCATTTCCATACAGATTCTAATTTCCACAGAAATCATTGCCATGTGAACTGAAAGAAATAATATCATTAAGAGTCTTTACTTAAGAGTATTTTGAACTGTCGAAAAGGGAGCTATAAATTTTCTAAAACTACGTAAATCTGTATGAAATCAGAATGTTTGGTAGAGTATGAGAAAAATACAAATTTGTGCAGATAATCTTCAATATTTTTTTTTAACAAAATTACTTGTTGACCTACTTCTAAAGCTTCCACCAGAATTATTGTTAAAAAAAACTGAACTTTAAATTGTTTCTTCTAGATAGTTTGAGCAATAAGTTAATACATTGATGTAAAATGTTCCCATAACGTTATTAATTTATTAGAAAGACCAATTACCTGAACTTAATTAACGCATGGCGTAAAATAAACAAATAACTTGAGACCGGAGATAAAAATAATGACAAATTAGATTTTTACTTATGAATTTGCCTTTAAGCTACATATTTCTAAGAGCAATAAAATTAAAAAATAATTTTTAAAATTTTAGCGTGTCTTAGAAATTTTAGGATATTTGTATAGTGTATTTCTTCACATTCTGTCATTAAACGAAAAAAACTAGACTAATAAGATGTGGCATAGAATTTCACTAAAAGTAATACAGTTTTCGACCAACGACTAAATTCTAATATATTTTTACATAAACGATTGTTAGTAAAAGCATAAAGAAAAACGATCCTAACATATTTTCAGTAATAAAATTGTACCAAAAGTCCTAAAATATATTGAACGCTGGGTTTTAAGACATGTTATTAAAGTTACCTAATAATTCCTGTATTTTCTTAAATAATGAAAAACCTGGATACTCTTATAAACGTCTGCTTCCGAAGGTGACTAAAGTTTTGAAAGTTCGTATCTGCTGCGATACGGTATTAATTGTTGCTGGTCACTGACTAAGATTAGATTTAGAAAAACTCATTTTCTAACTACTGTTACAGCAAGTGCGAGAAAGCGAATGAAATTTTTTTTAAGAATAAGTTAATTTGTTTTCATAAAGTAAAAAGCAATGAGAAAGTAAATACTAAGAAGTATTGTAAAAGTATTGTAAAAAGTAATTCACTAAGTATTGCAAAATTTTAATTAGGATCAATTTAAAAGGAGCAAAACCTAGAGTCAAAAATTAATTTTTGAACAGTTTTCCAAAAAATTATTTGTCAAAATAAATAGTTTAACCAGTCTATAAAAAAGACAAGAGCTTGAAAATAAGAAATAAGTTTGATTTATCCATTTAGAATTCGTGCAATTTTTTTGGCACAAACTACAGAAC